GCAAGCCAGCGATTGCTCACAGAGATCTGAAATCTAAAAACATCCTAGTGAAGAGGAACGAAAGCTGCGCCATCGCGGACCTGGGCCTGGCGGTGAAGCACGACTCGGTGCTGAACACCATCGACATTCCCCAGAACCCCCGGGTGGGGACCAGGAGGTGGGTGAGGGTGGGCTGCCAGCCACCAGCCCAGCTTGCCCCATGGGGATGGCTGCTCTCAGCCCTCTCGGCCCTCTCCTCCATCGGTGGCTTCCCCCTCTGCCTCTGGCGCCTGTTCAGCGTTGGCAGCAGACCCGAGCCCCCGTCCCCGCCAGGCAGACGTGGAAGGCGGTTGGCCGCTCTGGGCTCGAGCCGGAGCTCACTGCCTCGCGTGGAGCGCGGCTTTGCGCCATGGGCATCGCGCGTTGGCCACCCCGCGTGCTTCGGGGCGTAGTCAGGGCATCGCTCCCAGCGCTGCGAGGAGCCACGGCAATGGACGTAGGCAGCCGCAGCATTAATTCCAACACCCAGGCCAACTCTCTTGCTTTCTCTCAGAATTGCTGTCCAAAGGAGCTTCCCTCTTCCCTTTTTCCCAGCAGGACCAGCTGCTACCTGGCCCCTTGGTAGCAGCTCCCCCTAGCAAACGTGACCTTTCTGTGCTTTAAAGGTATATGGCTCCTGAGATCCTTGATGACGCGATGAACATGAGCATCTTCGAGTCCTTCAAGCGTGCAGACATCTACTCTCTTGGGCTCGTGTACTGGGAGATAGCCCGAAGGTGCTCCGTTGGAGGTGAGGTTCTGGCCTTTCCGTTTTGCAATCCAGACTGCTTTTATCTTAAGTAAACCAAAAGCAATTACCTATGTCCCTGCCCCAGCACCTCAGCAGTTTGTGGGGGTAGAAGTCTGCTGTGGACCAGTTGTCCAAGGTGGCCCCAAGCGTTCCTCTGTTCTCTCTTACTGCCTGTAAAACCAAATAATTAGAGTTTATCCTTTGGATTTTGTTACCTACACGGTGAATCTTTCCTAGGAATCACCGAGGAGTACCAGTTGCCTTACTACGACGTTGTGCCTTCTGATCCTTCGATAGAAGACATGAGAAGGGTAGTTTGTGAGCAGAAGCTCAGACCAAATATTCCAAACCAGTGGCAAAGCTGTGAGGTAAAAGCAGTTTTCCAGTTCATTACGAAGCATGGTTAAATTAAGGCAGAACATTTCAGTGGGACAAGGGAACTCGATGTCCAGCCCCATCTGAATGTGTTTCAGGTGCTGGGCTCTTTCTCAGCTCCCAGATCAATACAGGGAAAACAGTCTTTGCACCAAATGCAGACGTCTCTGGAAAATAGGGCTTCATTTACGATACTGCTGTTGCGTTACCATCCGAGCGCGCTGTATGTCATCTTCCAGTATTGCACTTAAAGAAATAAAAGCGGGAGGTGATGGTTTTGTTCCTGACTGGTTCTTTCCATTTCTGCTGGGCAGGCGCTGCGCGTCATGGGCAGGATAATGCGGGAGTGCTGGTACGCCAACGGCGCCGCGCGGCTCACCGCCCTGCGCATCAAGAAGACGGTTTCACAGCTCTGCGCGCAGGAGGACTCCAAAGCCTGACGGAGCTCCCGGGAGGAGGAGAGGGGAGCGAATTCTTCTGTTCATCTTTCAACATGTGATGTTATTTTCATTTTTTGGTCTACCTCACGTAACGTGGTTCAGTATTTCAGTGCCCAAACCAGAGCGCTGACCTCCAGCTTCATGCGTGGCCACTGGAAGGGGCAGCTTTGGCTCATCGGTCATGTTGCATACAGCAAGTCCACGACTCGCTTTGGTCCTCTGAGGTGGATTGGACACGAGGCTAATGGCAGAGAGGAGCTCAGAACACCATGGCGGCGTAGCGATGCCTTTGGCTGTCGCGCCTTTTGTCCCAGTCAAACCCCAGGCGTGCTGGAAGTCACTGGTGTTGGTTAAAGCCTGTTTGCAAGAGAAACCACATGTTTTGTCCTCAAACCAAGTAAAAGACCAAATTTAATCATGCTTTTTACATATTTCTATGCAGGAATCTGCATAAAGTAAAAGGGGCTGTCAGTGAAATGCATCTTTAAATACTATATTTATCACTACCTAAGTAAATAAGGCAAGGTGAAAATCCCGCTAGGCACGTATACTGTGAACAGAAGCACCCACTCAGATCTTTATTAACTTTTATTTTCATTGCCTTGTTTTCATATGCAGTGTTAGAGTTAGGATTTGGAGTTATTTTGCTCTGTTCATTTGTTCATTGAATATATTGATCAAGGGACAATTTTTAATGGGTTAGTAGGAAAAATAATAGAGGCGACACTTTTCTGATAGATATGTGGGGATGGAATGAGAGAAATTCTATCTAAACTGAGAAAGTCTATATAAATATATATATATATATATATGTTTTTTAAACAACATCTTGCCAATCTGTCATTGGTAACATTTTTTTAGTGCCTTCAGGCACTTTAGTTTTAGGGGGAAGCTTTAACAGAATGAATTTGTGGAGAGCAGTGGGAACCCGGCAGGAAGGTCCGTTCCTCGTTGGGGTGACATCCTGTGCCCCCACCTCGCTGGGTCGGAGGAGCTGGGGCCGCCCCCGCAGCCGGAGCCCCCGCTGCGGTGTCCAGGGGTGTAGGAGCAGCCCTGCGCCGGGGACTCCGGGCGGTCGGCGTGCTCTCCTCCGCCCTCGCCCGTGGCGCTTCGTGTTTCAGACGTGCCGGTGCTCTGGACGGGACCCCTCTTGGCTGTCAGGGCCCAGGGACGGGTTAAGATGCAAGTTCAAAGCGCTGATGTCCTTGCACGAAGCCGGGGCAGCCTGTTCAGAGGTTTCACTTGGGTTTCTGTAGTAGCCCAGGTACCGGCGTCTGTAGTCGTAGTTCCATGATGCCGCAAGCTGCACAAAGCAGAGCATCGTTTGAACATTCACCGATCTTCTGGCATTTTGTGAATCCTGCCCCGCTCTGTGGCCCACACATCTGAATACAGTATTCTGATAGTTTTAAATAGCCAGAATGATACATTTCATAATAATATGGTTCTTCAAATGTTTCTAAATCCAGGCGGTCCCTGGAAATTAAGCCCATAGATGTTTCCAGAACAGCAAAGCTTTGCAGAAAGTCGCTGTAGCACACGCAGCTCCGTGCAAGCAAGCTGTTGGCTAATTACAGTATTTACCCTCAGTCTTTCAGGCGAAACCTCTTGAACGGGGGCTCTTACGTGGAGGAATGGTTAAACTTTTACCAGGCGGGATGAGCAGTAGTGTCAGTACGGGGGTTTCATCCTGGCAAACACCCTCTCGGACATTATGGACTCTTTGCGATGTTAATTGCCCCATAAATAGGCTCAAATGCAATTTCCCTGGTTGCGTAACT